AACAGCATCATTAAGATATGGATCAACTACCATCTCCTTTGAGACGTTCCAATCTCCATCCGCAGCGATGATGCCAATGTTGCTTAGACCCAGTTTGTCTAAAGACTGCCGAAGTACCTTAGTAACAGATAACAACACTTAAAGTACAGCCTTTCATCAACCATGCAACATGAAAATTTAAGTCTGAAAACAATTTTAGGAGCAGACAGCAGAAGCATTTCTTCAGAGCTAGACAGGTAAGTGAAATCTTCTCTTCTCAAAGATGAGCTAAAATGATAAATCGGATAAAGTTACTGATAAGTGTTTTTAACACTGAAGTGTTCTCTCCAATATTCAGAAGGCCACATCAAAAAAGACTGGTATTATAAACGAGTCTTAGTCTAAACATTAATTTAAGAAAAATTAAAATAAGGTTCAGCAGCTTCCACCTGCAAGAGCATCTGGGAAAATACATCAGTCCACAGTCTAAAAATCCTTCTTCAAAACTTAGATACAGAGAGATGATGCAATAGGCACTCTAAACAAGCATAGAAGGAAGACTTTTCAAGTCATTTGAACACCGTCAGGCATGCATCCTCAAATAATTTCTGATAACATACTTCTAGAAACACGAAGAAGAACACAGAGCTTTTCTGTCTTGGTATGTAGTCATGATAAGGACATAAGGCAATGAGTTGGTGACAACCTTAACTTAGAATTAATGGATACTAAACTTATTAACATTTCAGAAAGAGAAGTGGTAATGGAGTTTTGTTCAATCGCTTTAAGCCTTTGAAGCACAAAGTTTACAAAAAAAAAAAAATGATGGTAGAAACATTATAGTGAAGTTCCTGTAACTTAAAACTTTTAGCATGAAAAGTTTAAATATCTCTGTCAAAAGCTGTTTTTTGAAAAGCGTCTTTTCCACTAATCAAACAATATGACACTACATATTGTATTTTAAAAACTATGACTTTGGTACAGTCCTTATTCATAATGGCAAAACCCACAGCAAGGCTAGATCTTGTATCAGAAATAGAATTGCCAGTAGAAGCAGGGAAGTGATCACCTCTCTGTACTTAGCCCTAGTGAGGCCACACCTCGAGTTCTGTGTTCAGTTTTGGGCCCCTCACAACAACAAAGACATCAAAGCCCTGGAGCAGATTCAAAGAAGGGCAGTGAAGCTGGTGAAGAGTCTGGAGCACAAGCCCTATGAGAAGCCAAGAGAGCTGGGATTGTTTAGTCCAGAGGAGAGGAGGCTCAAGGGTGATCTTATTGCTCTCTACAACTACCTGAAGGGAGGTTGTGATCAGCCTCTTCTCCCACATAACTAGCAGTAGGACTAGAGGGAACGGCCTCAAGTTGTGCCACGGGAAATCCAGGTTGGACATTAGGAAGAACTTCTCTGAAAGAGTGGTCATGTGCTGGAACAGGCTGCCCAGGGAGGTAGGTGGTGGAGTTACCATGGACCGTTGGACTGGTTGATCTTAGAGGTCTCTTACAACCTTAGTGACTCTATTATAGTTTAAGATTCTGTTACAGTTAACCTTCAGTGCATTAAGTCAAAATTCTTCACCAAGCAGAAGAGGCAAACAGACTAAACATTTCAGAACTATGAAGACAACTCTATGTTATTTTGTCAGCCTAAAACACTGCAAAATGTTAAATCCCAAGTTCTAACCCCAAGATTTGTCAGATACCTTCTCTTACACTTGGCTGCAGACTTTCCATTTCTGGCCCCAAACAGTTGTAAGATACTAAGCACCTGACTGGAACAGAAGTGTTGCCAGTTCAATTATAACAACACCTTGGAAGTCTATGCATGTGCTTGGCTTCATTGGTAGAAAAAGATTGGAGAAGATGCACAGGTAGACAAAACCACATTTATGAAAATAAAGGTGTTCTGCAGTTCACTAGCAATAAAATCTAAAGGAACTGAGATTTCTAAAGATGTTTCCGACAGTGTTTCCTAGCTGATGTCTAAAATTAAGGCTATAAGTACTACAAGTAGAAAAATTACTAGTAAATTAACAGTGATGAATCCACTTGGGTGAGGAGCAGCAAAAGACAGGACCACAAAAATTTCTGAACTAGGATTCAGAAAGGACTGCCACATAAATTGTTATTTTAATTAGACACTTACTGAAAAAGTACATTCCTTGAGTTCATGCAAGATCCATAGCAAGGAAGAATTTGACTAATTGTAATAGTATCATGAAATAAATAATTTACTTGTTCATAAGCGATTTTGATTTAATACTATTAACTGCACTGATAGGTATGTCTGTGTTCTACGCTATATAAAGTATGCAGAAAGTCTGCTGAAATGATTCTGAGGATCATGGAGGTTCACTAAAGGAGAAAGAGTGTCAGCTTACTGCAAGGGAAAAGATCAATTGTTAGTTGTTTCTGAACGGCATATTCTAGAATCATTTGGATTCTTTTTAACTGTTCTTCAGAAGAGATAACAGATAAGACAAAACATGATCTAAGTAGTCTTTGAAAGAAGAAGGACATGATTAGATCTCTGGAGTAGCTAGAATTAGGAGAAAAGAAAACCCAATGAACATCCAGCAAAACTTACGTTAGACATATGGAGAACTGCCCAATCATGGAGGTAGCTCAGTAGAAGAGAACAACTAGAAATACTGCAGAACATCCATGTGAAAAGACAGGTACTGAGGACACATCATAGATACCCAAAACACACACTCCACAATAACATACATTGAATGGTGTTGTTCCAGCCACTCCAGTGTGTGTATTTATACAAAGATACACTAATCCTAAAATTTAAGGAGTACGCTGATGGTATTTAAAGAATTGGAAGAATAGTATCTTATTCAATAGGAATTTAAAAGCAACTAAATCATTGCTTGTTTCATTTTTCTTCTACTTTGTAAGAAATCTAACTGGAATTTTAGTGGATGAATAAAATAAATTCTTAAAGTAAAACACTTAGCAAGATAACCAAGAACTCAAACATAAGTATGTCATAACAAAGTTTGCTGTACAGATGCACACTTTGGCGAACACATCTGTTCTAAAATGACTGAGTGCAAATGAAATTGTGTTAGATAAAGAAGAGATGCCACACAACACTGCAACAGGCAAGAGAATGAATGCTAAAACAGATGTTAAATAAAGTAGAGGAAGGCTGACATATTTCAGTAAATATTTTGGTGATTTCAAGATCAAACTTTAAAAATTTAGCTCCAGAAGCCAAAAGCTGTTCCAATGCAGTGGTATTTAAAAAGCTAACAAACAGAATGCCACACCTTCACTTAATAGTTTGTTCTTCGCATTCATTCTCTGCACATCAGGAAGCCAAGGCAAATAGGTTAGAAAGCCTCCAAGAAGCATTGCAGAGAACTGAGCAAAAGAGAATCAATTTCTTATGTGATGTAAAGAAAACTAATCAATGATTTAGTGAAATATGAGTATTTTATTTATGGTAAGATCTGCCTTCTCTTTGATGATTCCTTTTACAAAAGAACATGTCATCTAGTCTATGAATAAATCTAAATTGCAGTACAGAAAACATGTGACGTTGCACCCTACGTGTTACATCTTACATTGCCTTATTCCCTACAATTAGAATTATCTTTTAGGAAACTACTAATATCTTCAGATTTCTCCATTAGCCCATATCTGACTAGTGAACTACTTTTGTAGTAGCCTACAGAAGTGATAATATAGAAAAAGCACTTTAATGAAATTAGCTGTGTAATGAAGCACAGATAATGTAGAATTTGGTCTAAGTTGTGATAAGCCATGTAAACTAAACTCCTGCAGCAGAGTGACCACATAAATCAGTTTAAAATACACAGCTGATTAACATATCTGTTAAAAAGAAACACAAAACTGGATAAGGTGTTTCTCTTTCTCTGTTATCAGGTACAACGCCAACAGTTTTCTGCTTCCTGATATCCCTCACCCAAAGCAGTTCATATGAGCTGTAAAGAAACTTGCATACTAGGAAGGAAATGAAGTGTTTCATAGGAGAGCACTCTCACTTTCCAAAAGTAGACAGAATTCTTCTGTATATGTCAGCCTCATGAAAGACATTTAACTCATGCCTAACTTTTTTTCCCTGCTAATGAAATGTCATGTCTAAGTGTTGCACACAACTTTCTGTATTGTGCTAAAACTAACCACTGAATGAAATAAGTACAGAAGTTGCCAAGATAAATAACACAACTGACCTTATGCAGTATACACAAATTAAAAGAACTTATCTAATAGCCACTAACTGACTAATTTTAAGCAGAAGGAACCCAATGTCTGCTGAGTTCTACATTAAAAAAAAAAAAACAACAGTTTCCTTCATATTCACCTTAACTCTTTGTTTTCAGAACAGGCAATGTAATTGCTTCTTAGCTGCAAAGCAGCAACAAGGAAATGAATATAGCAGAACTTATGCTGAAGTGGAATCCTAAGTATAACACAACTCAAACAGAAGTGAGCTTTCAAAGAAGGGCATGCAAGGAAGGAAGCAGTGATAGCTTAGTGCTACCTGATGTGAAATACTGTCACTCTCCAACTCATTTAGAACAAGGTATTAACTTTCACACAGTTAAAATATAGAGCTCTTACTTTATGGAAAAGGCAAACCAGAAAGTGTCATAAGAACCTGGACTTGTATATCAATAATTTAAGTGTATTATATACACTGGAACATCACAATTTAAAGTAATTGTAGATCTTAGACTTAACAAAAGAAGCTATTTTTCACCTGGTAAGAAGATGAATTTGTATGATTCAACTGGGGCTTCCATTCAAGTGTCCTGAATGTTTAGCACACACTGATCTACAAAGTTCAAAATAAATTTTTCAAATAAAAAAATTCTAAAGATCTGACCCTATCAGTATTTTATGCCTGCAACCACCACAAGAAAGAGTTCAGTCAGCAGTCATGGGATTAAGGCCTCTATTCTAGGGGAAGTCAGACAAGTAAATCACGTGTAAATGATAACAAAGAAACTTCATAACTAAATTTCACTTTTGAGAAGTATACATACCTTGATATATTTGCTGTTATATGCCCTTTCATTCCATATCTATAAAGCAAAAAGTAAAAGGCCATTTAGAGAAGTCAGGATGCATTGATACGTAATGCAATCCCATATACACTTATATAAATCTTTCACAATCGTTTCTAAACTCCATGGTTTTAGCTTGCTAAGGGAAATTGCTCTGATTAGTTTTATCAGCCCCCCACAAGAGATTTTTACATAAAAATTCAAGCCATATGCTTATCTATCTAATTCTTATGCCTATTGTCTGTAATCTTGCCAAAAAGAACACTAATGCTGTGGGAGCTCTACAATGGTTAGCCTTGTTCCACATTACATATCACTAACAATGGGTCTACAGTTTGGTAGAAATCATGGAGAAAAACACTGTAACTTCAAGACATGGTCATTGAGAACATCAAGTAACAGTACAGATACCAGACATTATTTAAATACTTTAAGTAGAACTTACCTTCCACTCTGAAGTCAGAGCAAGGCAAGAACTAAAAAGTTGTGCACATACATTCCTCCCCACTGCCTCCCTACAAGTTGTTACCCAGAGTGCAAGTGCAAGCACTTTCTAATATAGTCAGCAACATAGAGACATGCCAGAAGAGCTATACATCATACATACCTTCTCACATTACATTAAAAAAAGTCAGACTTTCTTAGTGGGACAGGAACCATAACTTCAGAAGCTCAACCCAGGACCACTGAGTTGACTGTCAGCTTTACTGCAGTTAAACTATTCTGCATCAAAACACTTGGAAGCCCAAAATGAGTATTTCAGTAAGTGTAAGACTTATTCTAGACAAATTATCAATTTTCTTAAGCAGAAGGAAAGAAAAAAGGTTGAATCACAATCAAATAACAAATATGAAAAGTGTTTTTCCCTCTCATCTCTAAATAACATTCCTCTCAGATATTCCCTCACTACTTCCATATAATGCCTTATAACACAATATGGCAGTTATACTGTAACATATGCACCCTAACTATTTAATAATATAGGTAAAAATGGAAGAAGTTGTAGAGTACTGCCCTTCAGCAAAATAATAACCATATTTTATGCCAAGAACTCACATTAGCTGAGTTTTGCAAACTCTAAGCCTTAACTAACATTTTTCATCAGCTGGTTACTTCTAAAACCCAAGGAGAACAAGTGAGGCAGGAAATTACACACTCAAGTTTCAAAATCTTAAAATTTTCTGGTAACTTTTTTCTAGAATTGGGAAGTCAGGAGTCTAGCCACTTTACATTGTTTCCACATTAACGGCCAGTACTGAGGAAAGGCAGGAGTTATGCTAGGTAACAGTCTCATTGCAACAGAAAGTTATAACCACAATTAGTTTTTCATCTCTCCCTTCCCAGTATTCAAAGAAACAAGAAAAAAAAATCTTAAAAATGAAGACAGATAAAATATATTTTACTGACCCCAATATAATCAATATCCAGATCATGATACTGTTTAGCTCCTAATATCCAAGAAATAATATAGTAAACAGTGACATGTGGATAATCATAGGGCCAGTTTTCACCCTTCCCTATCCATGATGGAAATGTCCAGGGCAATCCTGGAAAGAAGAGAAGAAAAGCAAATAAATAATTACTGAAGTGGGTGGTCTGCATTATTTAGTACAGTTTAAAAGCATGCTGCACTTTATCTTTCCTAAACTGAAGGAGCAGATAGCCCTTCTGATTCACATAGTTCCAGCAAAGACAACGAAACACACTTATTTTACCATAGAATATGCTGTAATATAAACTGGAATCAAACACTTGTGGCTTTTATTTTATTTTTAAGTCAGAAACCCATCGTTATTTGAGAGCTACTGACTACATATAATCTTTCTACTGTGTAAATTCTAACAGGTTTAAAGTAAGAAAGACTTTTGCAAAAACATTTTACAGCATTATAGACAAAAGATCAATATTGAAATGCAAAAATCTCCTGAGTATGCCTTTCAGAGCAAACAATGATTTACTCATTGCAAAGGAAGAAAGATTAGGACTATGAAAAAGCATTTCTGAGTTTATTGGCTCTTGTGGTAAATAAGAACAAGTTATTCACCTAAATAGATTCTCTCACATTTTCAGCTAATTCAGTATAAGACACCAGATCTCATTAATTAAAAGGCATACTCTCCTCCCTTTGTTGTGGGCTTGATTTGAGGGAAGAAGGTATTAACAATCACAATTAGTCACAGATGGTAAGCTTGCTGTTTGCATAGCGCTTGTCTAAAAGAATCTGACCAATAAAACCTGCAGCAAGTCACATCTTGTGGATGGGTAGGAAAAACCTGCTTCCTGGATGAGAGGTAAGGAGACTCATAGGCAGGTAGAGTAAAATAGCAAAATTGCCATCTTTTGAAATTTCACAGGTACTTAGAGTAACCTTTGTTTCACCAGTCTTTTAGGATAAAGAAAATATACATTTGTATTTCCATTTGAAAAGCTCTTTTAAATACTGCTGACTGAAATTTTAAGCAATAACATCACAAAAATCAAAGGACTTCTGCTGTTGAAACTGGAATAGTACATTAGACTACAGAGAAAGGAAGTCTGATAATACAGAGAGTGGACTATACTCACAAAGCAGAAAATGAATATGGGGGATAAATTATGTAACCAAAATTGTCAGAGTGAAAGAATAAACATCAGTGACAACCTTTCAAGCTCCTGGAAATGAAGCTGTCAAAATATTGCAACAGTTACTCTTAAGTATTTTTACAACTTTCACACTTGCGCATTTGTTACAAGTTTTCCTTTGGAAGGAATTTCTCATGCATCACCTATTCCTAATAAACATCAGGAAATAAAAATCTGCTTGGCACTTGAATGTAAGAGCACTGAGGATAATCAAACTTCTAAAAAAAGAATAAGTTGCAAACCACACTTTTTGCCTTGTCAATGCTGTGCTGTACATGGAAATTTGCTACTCAGAAAAAAAATAGATTGAGACTTAACTACACAATCAAGTGATGCAGTGCATTTATTTTTAATTATGAGGTTTCTCTGCCCTGGAGACCGCAGAAGTCTGGCTTGCTATTACAGAGGTACCTGATTATTACTATAATAGCTCTGCAACCACTGCCACTACCACATACAAAATGGAAACAGTACACTTCATGAAAGCACTACCAATAGCATAGGGCACTTGTATTCGACACCAAGATCAATTTCATTCACTCAGAAAGGTAAGAGAAGAAGGCAAATATTGTAAGATGTCAGGTCTAACAGTTAATCTTTAAATTTGTCAGGGAGTATTGAAGGCCTGACACATGGAAGAGCCCAGCATTTAGCTCAGGACTAGTTCAGTGTTAACGTTTCACTAAAACATTTGCTCAAAACAGTGCTGATATTTGTGCTTTTGCCTCAGAATTGAGCTCTATCACAATTAGTAAGAAATTATATATAGTTTCAGGAAGTACATACATGCCACCTGGCATCTCATTATAAAATCAAATTATTTATAACCAGATTCACTTTTGAAACACTTTTTGGAGACAGAGTGGAAAGAAAAGTCATCCTCTCTTTCATGTAAAATACATCCAGTGAAGTAAGTCATCAAAATCCAGGATTCTGTATTTGTATTGTTACATACACTGAGAGAGTGGTGAGGTGCTAGAGCAGGTTGCCCATACAGGTTATGGATGTCTTGTCCCTGGAGGTGTTCAAGGCCAGGTTGGATGGAGCCTTGAGCAACCTGATCTAATACTTGATCTAGTGGTTAGCAACCCCACCTGTCACAGGGGGATAAGACCCTGAGGTCCCTTCCAACCCAAGTCATTCTGTGATACACAGCCCACAATCAAAACAGGAAAAGTTATCTTACAACTCAAATATACATACACACATATACACACACACACAGCAGAGCAGAAGACAGGAAACATTCTCACAGGGAAGGAGGTGATGCACTAATGATAAGGATATATGACTGAACTTAGGGCATGAAAGACTTACAGATTCATGCTTGCTTTAAATTCGGGGGAATAAATTAAATTTTTTATTCTACTGGTTATTCAGAAATTCAGCCCTCATGATAAATCATTTATATTCATCACTGCAATTAAATCTAAGCACTAATATCACCTGATGCAAGCAAAGCATTGGTCACCACCCAGAATGTTACACTTCTATAGAAAAGCAAAAATAATCTGTTTATGAGAAGCATCAATGCAAGCATATCAAATACTAGAGATTCTATATCTTGTCTAGAGCAACAACAAAAAAGTCTATTAAAATAACTAAGGGTAAGATATGTTAGTTAGAAAACATATATATAAAAATCATAAGACTTGAATAATTTACCGATCAGTTTAATTTGGGGGTTCCTCTTTTTAGCTTCTTTCATCAGCCACCATTCATAACCTCGGAAGTAGTTCTCATCATTTTCATAGTGCATATGGGAGGGTTCAGTGCCATCTAGGGAGGAAATAAACATTTCACAATTATCTTCTGTGTCATAAGCTGTTGCACATTATAAAGTTTTCTGCATTGCTCACTGCCACAATACGCAGTCAAGCACATAGCTCCAGTACGGTTCACGCATTCTTTGCTCTACACTTCAAAGCAAAATGAGTAGTGGAAGGGAACATGTAAAACTGGCCACCCTTCATTGTTAGCATGTTAAGTTAGCATAAATGTTTGGTTTTTTGGAGGACGGACATTTTTGTGTTTTTGGGTTTTTTTTTGTTTGTGGTTTTTTTTTTTTTTTTTTTTTTTTTTTTTTTGGCAACAGAACATGATCAGCTATCAGGCATTTCCTGTTCCCAGATATGATAATGCTAAAATATGCATTTATGATTATCTTGGTCTCAACAACCACCAGGAAATTTAGAGCAATAGGATCATAAGGAGAAAGAAAAAAAAAAAAAGATAAACAGTGATCAAGCCCCAGTGAAATGTAGCAGCTCAATAAACTAAAAATGAGAACTGTTTCTGATCTTTGCATTTTCATGTTTTTAAGCTCCACACAAGTTTCACAGGGTTTGTATTACAGAAACAGTATTTGAGAAATGCTCTGCAGAGAACTCATTTCTCTAAATGCAAACTACTTACCATATTATAGATTTCTATATTGAAAGGCAGGGGGAAGAGAACACCATCTCTAAGACACGAGTATAAATTACTTTTACAAGTCTGCAGACACCGTTTCTGATATTTCTGTGTAACTTCAGTAGAACTACATAACATGCATCTCCATCTCTCAACTGAAGAGAAACAGGTGCAGGACACATTACTTACAGCACCATTGCAAACGAAAAGCTGAACCCTGCATAATCTATACCTGTTGATTGTCCATCACCACCAATCTCTACTTTGAGAATGTGTAAAGAAGCACCAAAATTTGGCTGGAAAAAAAAACAAAAACAACAAAGAGAAATCAGACTAATGACAAGATAATCTTTATGAGGAACATTAAAGTATTTTTAATGTTACTGTAAGCCAAGCTTAGTGCTTTCTTTCAAAATAATCAAACTATTAAACCTACTACCTTCATAAATTTCTTTGATATAAAGACCTCATATATGTGTCAGAAATAACTTTTTCTGTAATTAGCAGGTTACCAGAGAAGAAAAGTTGCCATACTGAGAAACAAATAGCCTCTTGGTCCACTATCTCATTTCCCTTGCATTTGACTGGCAGACAAGACACAGAATTTAAATACACAATTCATCCAACTCCTACTATGTTCTTGCAATTGGTGGTTTTAGAGTTGCTCAAGCCAGAATTTACAACTAATCATTATTTTAATAAGCACAAATGCAGCTGGCCTTTTCCATGAAATTATCCTAGTGTAAGTTTTAAGATTTAATAATGAACTTATTAAAAGAAAATATGAGTGAAGCCCACACCTACATGGACAATAGTTTGCTCAGCCTACAAGATTATTTAACTTTTTCAAAGAAGAAGCAAGTATTCCTCAGTTTACATCTCTCCTTGTGCCATCTTTTATTTTAAACTTCTACACATACCCTTTTCCATCTTTATCACAAATTGAACAACATTAAATACAAGAAGAAAATAGAGGCAAAGCCTCCTTCCGTGTACGTCACAGCAGTTTTTGTTTTGGTGAAAGATAACACTAAAAAATTTTTAAATACCATGCTCTCACAACTGGACTTCCTTTTGTCTTATTTCTGCTGACTCCTTCAGAAAACTCGTACTCGCAACACACAATTTAGGTCTTCCAAAGAACATGGATTTGCTTCCCAGTTATACATTATTCTTTGCTATAACCTTTACCCAATTTCAAGCTACACAGTAAATTATTTTCCTCCAGCCATTTGGATTGCAGTACTTGAAAGTGACATGACATTCTCCTTCAGCAGAGTAATTTACAGTGCCAAAAGCAAAACAAGTTATTACTGTCCAGTGCAATAGCCTTAAGTTGAGTAACTCCACAGGTTATACTTGCTACTTAAAGCAGCTTACAAAACAGTAACACTAATATTCCTTGTGCAGTAACTACACTTTTTCTACTAATCTGGAATAGATATTCTACTGAAGTGACGCCGCCAGATTCACAAAATTGATAAACTATCTGTAGTCTAATCAGAACTGTCCAATCCACTTCCTACAATCATAGAACAGCAAAGCCCTCATTAACCCAAAATGTAGGATGAAAACACATTGAAAACAGGAATAAGAGAAATCCTAATAATTTGAAGAAATAAGCTGCCAAAAAAAAAAAAAAAAAAAAAAACAAAACCCCCCCAGCAACAACAACAAAAAAAAAACACACGCTGTCAAGAACAGCAACTAAAAATGTAAAGTTCTGATAAAAACCCTTTTAGTATAGCCAGCAGCTATCAGCTATACATTAGCAGCTGTCATACTCTGAAGGAAGGAAACTCTTTCCTTCAGTTTTAGAGTCTGCACACTTGACAACATTTGTTGGTTTTATTTCTCAGAAAAAGGAGCTTCCCAGAATTTCATAGAGGGATCAAAACTTTTAGAATCATAGAATCGCTCAGGTTGGAGAAGACCTTAAAGATCATTGAGTCCAACCACAACCTAACCAAACTATCCTAACAACCCTCCGCTAGATCATGTCCCTGAGCATGCCCTCTTGTGAAGAGCTAGAAAGTTTATTCTTTATGTGAAAGGAATAAAAAAAGGTTAAAATATTTATCCCACAAGAACGCATAAAAGCTTATATAATAATAAAAATAAAATCAGTAAGACTAAAAAAAAAAAGTGTTTAATACATGGAAGTGTTGTATTCATAGTTACTAATCATAAAAAAAAAAAGAAGTGAGCTCTTCATGGAATATACTTGCATGAGTAGCTTACTACACAATGAATTGGTGGGCAAACCAGGGTTGCCCTAATAGGTTTAAACTCTCTTTGGGCTCAACCATTCCACTCTTTTAGCTACAAAACCATCTATAACTGATAGGTAATAACTATTCATCTTCAGCGCTCAGTGTCAAGTTGAAAAAACAGTTTTGAACAGATTTACAAGATAGAGCTTGCCTAACCTTAAGAAGGCCTGAATATACTACAGGCATCCCAACAGGTGACAGTAAGAAGCTCTGCATGAAATCAGATGTTGGAGCAGCAGTAACACAGCACTTACCTTGAACAGATAATCTAAGATCTGGGAGCGATACGGTTCTTGGTAGTTCACAAGGAGTCTAGATGTGGCCTAAAACAGAAAACAAAATTACAAACACCTTAACAGTCAAACATCCAAGTGCATCTTCATTTTTTGGTCTAGGCAATTCCACACAACTAATAATCCTACAAAATTAAATACAACATAAAGAACTTGCTAAACACAAAGTTCTTCCTAACCCTCCACTTGCACAGTTCTGCTTTTGCAGATTGGAGGAGCCCTGCTCACCCGTGACACCAGCAAAGGGAGCCCAGAGGGCAGGGATACAGGGAGATCCCGCAGAGCCGCAAGCACAGCACCTGCACCAGCTCTCCTGCACTCTCCCTGCCTCGGCTCACCCACGCCGCCCTCAGAGCCTCCCCAGCCCCACATCCCCCACATCCCCCCGGTAGTCCCTCAGCCCGCCGATACCCCCGGGTATCCCCTGGGTTACCCCATCCCCAGTTGCGGCAGCCCCGAGGAAACGATGTCAGCCCAGTCCCGAAGAGCCCCGCGCACACCCTCCCCGCTCACCCCACCGCCGCTGATCGCCCCGATCCCGTCGAACTCCCTGCCCAGCCCGCCGGCATCATCCAGCACGTAGGCAGCAACGACCCCGGGGGGCCCCAAGCCCCAGCCGGAGCCGAGCAGGAGCCAAGCACAGAGCAGAGCCGCAGGACAGAAAGAACGCCCGACAACCTCCATCCCGACGGTCTTGCCCCGCTCTGCTCGCGGCCCCACCCTGCCCCTTCACAACCCGCATCTGTCCCCGCCCCCGTCCGCCGCGTGACCTCGCAACCTGGCAATCACCTGAGGAGGGCGGGGCACGAGCGATCCTCGCCGCCATTTTACTATAGGGAATGGCGTCTCAGCCCTTACTGCGCAGCAGCGGAATGAAGCTGGTGACTGCCATTTTGAGAGAGGGCATGAGAAGCCCCGGCCCCTGGGGAGGCGTACTGCCGTGCTGGAGGAAGGTGCTGAACAGTGAGTGAAGCCATTGAGGAACCATGATAGGTGTGGGAATGCTGCCGCGTGCTTCAGGAGGCGTGTAGTGAGGCAGGGTGTTTGCATCACAGGTGGACGGAGCTTCTCTGTGAAAACAGCACTCTGCAGCGTGAGCACTGTTCACAGTACTTACGCCAAAGTGACTTTCATCAACTGCAAAATTGCTTCTTCTTACAGGATCCACATCCTCCAACAGTTTTCCTGGAAGGGGAGTGACGTACATCTCCCATTTCTAGGCCCTCACCAGTAGCTGTGACCAAACCCCTTGTGCTGTAGGCATGATCGGTACAGCATGGTGAGAGAAAGACCTTTGATCTTTTGTACGAGGAGCGGCGGAGTGGCTGGGAGCAGCTCTGGGGCGCAGGGCACCCAGGGAGAGGCTGTACTCTGAGGACTGATGGCTGGCGTCAGTTCTTTCGTAGAACGCCTTGAGTAGTAAGGGGCCTTGAAGGTCGATGAGCTCCAGCTGCTTGCCATGGGACACTGTTGATCAGTCTGATTATATAGTATAAAAATCCTTAAAGTGGAGCTTTCTGACTGTTGACATTGGTGTTCTGCAGAGCTCGTGTTCCGCATGTTTCAGGAGGAATGAGGCACTGGGAAGTGCAGTGGCTGACATCACGCAGGCAGTGTGTTAATGCTGTAGAAAAGCCCTGGTTTTTCATGTTTCCATTCACAAAGAATGCTGTTATTTGAGGGACTGCCCATCTTGTCTGTGTCATTGAGGAATTTCATGCCTCAGTGATGACATTTCCTGATTGTTTCCTGTTTATTTCTTTTTTAATAACAATACCAAACACTCATGAAACATTTGCACTTTACAGCAATATCAAGTATTAACTAATGAACCTGCTCACACCCAAATGAGCTATATAGTGTCATTATTACATGTAGAAGCACAGAGTGACTTCCTCAGGCTACAGTGAGTCATGGCAGAGGCAGAATTTGCTGATGGTTCTAATTCACCTTTGTTCCAGCAGGCTGCAGCTTTGCGTACATAGAGTGTGCAAATAAAGAAGTAATAAAGAAAGAGTTTGATTTTTTTTTTTTTTTTTCATATAACTTTACTTCCAGAAACATATGGAATGATTATATATTCTCTTGCTGCCTTTGATTTTTCAGTCCCCCATCAACTGTTCAATAAAGGCCTTCAGAAATACATCAACCACATTTCTCTATTTGTAATAACAATAAAAATTGCTTTCTCTTCAGTGACCTATAGGAACCCTCAACTACCCACCAGACATTATTCTTAGTAGATGCCATGTTAGGAAAAGACAGGTGAAAAGTGATGAAACAGGTCTTTGTCTAATGACTTCTGTCTCCGTGAAAATAAAGCTTTGGCGGAATTTCTGAATTAGAATTTTAACTAACCCATCTTCTTCCAGCTAAGGTGCTGAAGAGCCTCCATTTCACCAAGCTGGAGGGCGCTATGAGACCAGTTCAGGATCGCATGAAATGGAATTGAATTGTTTGATAATCAGTAGAAAAAAATGTAACTAAAAAAAAATCATGCTCTGTCTGGGAAAAAAAGGAGCTAGCCAAATCTCTGCATCCAGTAATTTAATATGCAGATACTTGGTACTGTTTTCAGAAAAGTACAAATTTTAGAGCTTTTAAATTTGTCTGATTCATTTCTCCTTACCATCTGAATAATCAAATAGATTGGTTTTTTTTGTTACTGAATAGATGTGCAATTAAAAATTCTACCCAGTTTCTTAGAAGCCGACAGAAATCATTATAAACAGAATTTACAAATAATAATAATAATAATAAAAAAAATCAGAGTACACGATAAATTATTCTGAGCACAGAGGGAATGAACAAACTGTGCCTATATAACATTTTTTTCACCTAATTATCTATTAAAAGAATCACTTCCATAAAAGCAATGTACAGTTAATTTTGTATTAAAAAAAACACAAATATGCAAATTGAAGTGCATGAAATTTTTGTTATCCTGTGTTAACTAGCACTGTTCACAAACTTGCTTCCATCAGTAAGCAAACAGAAGAGAAACAACAACACAGTAATAAAGGTTCAGAAAATAATTAGATTTTTTTGAAGGAACTTCTGAAATCTTTATGATATTTTTTATGAATTCCTCATATGTACATTTGTCTTTGATTCTGTAATAAATCTTTAGGGAACAGCAAGTGCAAAATCTTTTGGTCAGAAAAAGCTTCTATATATTGAACACATACAAATTAAAAAAAACAAAAACGAAAACAAAAAAAAAACCAGTGTTTTATTTCTGTGTATTATTTCTCTGCATAATGCATTGTGTCCTAAATAAGGGGTTTGTAATACACTCCACTCATGCAGTTTGGCAATATTTTCATTAAAACTTTTCTAAATTTACAAAAAAAAAAAAAAAAAAAAAAAGATTTACCAAACTGGCTACCATCGTTTTTCATATTTCCATATGAGTACATTGTCTAAAAAAAGAAAAAAAAGGAAAAGAAAAAAATCAAAAGGCTTGTGAGCTGTTGCTTCATTAGCGCACCCAAGAGCAGCTTCCTCTTACTTTATCTGTTGAAGCAGTTTCTCTTCTCAGAACCAGACCCTGATTACCCTACTGATGGTAGAGGAGTAAAACTGCTCTGTGGGAACATTTGATTCTCTAGGTAAGTGCACACACTTCAGGAAGTCAATGAATAGACTATTTATGTTGTGGTACAGGTTTTATTGCAGCTCTCCTTTAATGTGATGCTGATATCATGCAACAAGAAGAGACACAAAAAGATGCTGGAAAAACTGCTCTGGGGGAAGTAATATTCCATCCCCCAACACGAGTGAAATATTTCACTTAAAAGTTAAAAAAGTACAAGGACAAATAACTTCAAAAGAATGTGTTAGAAAAGACATGACAGCTTGATTAATTGTTGTAATAGTACTGCCATGATCAAAATACCTATTGCTCAGAGAAAGAGGGAGGAAAGGATGGAAGGATTCGGGCATGAGTTTTGAGGATACTGAGCTTTCCTGTACTCACTGTAAAATTGCCTCACAAGGCATTCCAGTCACTCTTCTGTTATTGTTCTTTAGTATTTTATGTCATTAACAAGGTACTCAGCCTTATTTATGAGAATATACACCATTCTTAATACCTGGCAAAAAATCAAGCTGCTCTAAAAGTAGCTTCCTAGATGCTAGAGTACCAGTCATCATGAACATGAAAATACTTTCTACAGCATCTTTCTATGCACACAGAAGAAAACTTGATGCACAGAAACTTATAGCAAAATGATGTTCATTTGTGTGGTCCATGTTCTAAAGTATATATATATATGTACATATTTCTATTTGGTTACATCAATGAAATCTCTATGCTTTATAAAAAAAAAATGCCTGAAGTGTATCTCGAAGTTAAAAAGGCTGAATTCTTTCATACCCAATTGAGTTTCTACTGAATCTCAGCGAGCTGTGAGCAAAATTTACTTCGTTGAACTTGTTTAGAGAAAAAAGGAAATAAAAAAATAATCTGTCCTTCCATCTTATGGCTGATGACACAGTGACATTAGCACAGCAACTACTCTACTGATTTAGCCGATATGATAAGTGTTTTCTTTATTTGAGTCTGATCTAAAAAGCCAAGTACATGCAAAAATCTATCATCGTATAATGTGATATACTGCTTACTCAACTTCCCCTTTTTTAAAACTGAACTTTAATGAAGGACATGTAGTGAAAATGTGTCAATTGTGGATGTTTCCAAAATTAAATTGGTGGTTTTAGTGACCAAACTTTCCTATTTTTAACACAAAATTCTCACAGTCTGCTCCATCTTTCATAATTTTCCACACGATGGCAGATTTATTGGAATTTTTTTTTAAAAATACTCTTCCAGCTTTCCCATAGAGCTTTTACAGATAAAAGTATGGAACATCCATTTGTATTTGTGTTTCTGAAAGGATAAGTGTATATTTGTTACATTCAAAATGTTATAAACTGTCAGATTGTGAGATTGTGAAATCTTTGAATCTAAATTAGATTATGTGGAAATAAATCAATACCAATACATTATGTAATATTCCTGAAGTTAATTTATAAGCTTGTTTCCATACATTACTTGAAATATAACATATAGTAGATCATTTCTCTAAATTTTACATCTGACTGCAAGTTACTTTTTTTTCTCCAGAGTTCTCTTAATAGCAGATTTTCTGTAGCAAAATGGCAAAGATTTTGGGACAATGATGGTCATTCAATCATTGGTCTAAAAGAGAGCTTTGACTATTGAGAAATATACTAAGGACAAAACTAGCAGATGTACTCAGAAGATGAGAAAAGTTTTCAAGCTTCAGACTGTATTTTCAGGTAAGGCAAATCATTTTACATTACACAGTCATAATTATCAGAGAAGTGCTAAGCAAGGAAGTATGATATAAAAAGGCTCCCCTAACATAAGATCTCAGATAGCTATAAAGAAATGTGTTGCAATCAGTTGCGAAACAGATCTTTCTGCTTTTATGTTTTTGCTCAAGAAACTACAGTGTATGTTGTAATATTCTTCACTTGCTGGCTCTGTGACACATTTCATTATAGGTCATCAATACATACCATAATGACACACTTTTTAGCATGTCCTCATATGAGTAGCATTGATAGTGTGTCATTAAAGTTGAGACATGAATTACCTGGGAAGTTCAGATGGCCTCCTGGGTCCATAGAAACTGTTGAAGATACTGTTTGAAAAGAAAGCCATGAGGTGCTGTGAACTGTGAACATGAAGGACAGAAAAACTGACAAGGTGGGAAATTTCATGTGATCTCAGCTTGCTTTTTTTTTTGCTTTTTTTTTTTCTCCTGTTTAATATTATCTTCAGTGTCCCAGCCATTATCCAGTTATTGCTTACATTGTTCATTCCTTAAGGCAGGTGGCAGGAGAGCAAAACACGATCTTGCCTTGAAGAACACACAGTTTGTTCAGACAGGTGCAACATACTGACAAGTATGTTTACCTTATGATCAGTGAGATGAGTAGATGAAAACTGTTAAAAACAATGAGTAAATAGTTGAAACTGGGTTTATTGATCTGTAAATCAGTAGGAACGAGCTGATAAAGCCACCTGTGGAGACAAGTCAGGAGCTTGTAAGGATGTTGAGTCTGTAATACAAGTCAATTAACAATGGAGAAAGACATTTTGGGGGAAGGAAAAGGAATTCCTATTTCTCAATCACATGACAAATGTAAACACTGCCTCATGCACTTACTGCTGAATTACATACATGCTTCTCAAGGGGTATGTTTCCCTGCAGGGTTTGTCACAGATTAAAAAAAAAAAAAGAAAAAAAAGACAATAAAAAGCGCTTAGAAGAAGAGAGGTATTTAATCTGTTATTTATCTAATCAGTCTGAAATCATTTGCTTTGCTTTTGTGAAAAGTGGGCCAGAAAAACCCTGAGATCCCATTTCTAGGCTTGAATTTTAATTTGTGATGCTTATCTCTGCTGGTAAGCTTAAGATGCCCTATTTACCATGCGGTTTTAATAAAACAAACCACACCGAGTAGCAGATATATTATGTGTGTCTTGCATACACACACTGAATTTTCTTAAATAGTCATCTTGTAAGTAAAGTTTCTCACTTCAACAGATTGACAAGTCCTCAAGAATTTTCATTGCGTTTCAAGCACGTGAGTGATTTTACGACTAACTGTGAAAAGTGAGCCAACTTGATCAAGTAAAGCACTGGCTGTTAAAATGAAGTTTGTTCTTTCTGGCCAGTTCTCTCATTGCTCCATTAAAAATACGTATATATATACGTATATATCAGTGAGAATTTCTCAATAGAAAAAAGACATCCACGTAATAACCTCTCAACATTCACTGAGCCTACATGGATTTCTCTGACAAACCCACAAACCTCCACATGCATCCATGTGGACTCATAAGGGCAGCATGAGTTTACCCATCATTTAGGAAAATTCCTATACCACAAACTGTCTTCAGTTTGAACTGGCAAGCAGTTCCATCTTACAACTTACTCATTCTACAGCCTCTTCATCTCCTCCGCTGATATTCTAGGCTCACAACAGAGATGAGTTGCTAGAGGTGATTTCTGAAGCAGTTGTTATATTTATCAGCAGAGCTAGACCACACCTGGTGTTTCCAAATGACAGAGGCATGATATAATTAGTGATTGCCAACTGTCTCATATGTATGGTTGTACCCCCTTTCTTACTGAAAGGTCAACTCATATAAGTGCTTCCAAAACCTATGCACCCAACTTTTTCAGTTAGAATCATAGAATCACCAAGGTTGGAAAAGACCTAAAAGATCACCCAGTCCAACCGTTCACCTATTCCCAATAGCTCCCACTAAACCATGTCCCTCAACACAACATCCAGTCTTTCCTTGAACACCCCCAGGGTCGGTGACTCCACCACCTCCCTGGGCAGTCCGTTCCAGTGCCTGACCACCCTTTCTGAAAAGTAATACTTCCTCATGTCCAGCCTGAATCTCCCCTGCCGTAGCTTGAAGCCATTCCCCCTAGTCCTATCACTAATGACACAAGAGAAGAGGCCGACCCCCAGCTCACTACAGCCTCCCTTCAGGAAGTTATAGAGAGCAATGAGGTCTCCCCTGAACCTCCTCTTCTCCAGACTGAACATTCCCAGCTCCTTCAGCCTCTCCTCATATGGCCTGTGTTCCAGACCCCTCACCAGCTTTGTTGCCCTCCTTTGAACACGTTAGTTGAACACGAACACGAGCAGTTGCAGTGCTCTTATTGAGGCTACCATTTAACTGGTATTTTCATGCCAAAACTATTGACACCCATGGTTCTGTTAGTGCCTAGGATGAACTTAACTGCTGGTTTTACAAACTCATGCAAGGCAAGCACAGTTTCTTAGAGGAAAGAAGTGTAAATGAGAAACTGTACTCAGACAGTGTCTCATTGGAGTCTTGGGCATAACAGATTTTCCCATGCATTCAAGAATCCAATAGCTTGACATATTTCACATAAATATTCCTGGACATGCAGTAACCTTTGCTGGAATAGCATGACAAGTTACTGGGGGATTGCATACGAGTGAAGAGAGAAGGAAGCGTAAGGATGCATCAAGAATGATTCATAATATGGGTACAGCTTGGCCACTTGTTCTCTTCCGAGCAGATCCCAACAGCTGTAGGTATCTGAATCCCCATCATGCTATCCTTGCCTCACCATTATTTTAAAGAGGAGTAGGGCATCAGGGATACAAAATCTGCCAGAACCTTATTCTTTTTTTTTTTTTTTTTTTTTTTTCTCTCCTGTGGTGTACTCTCCAAAACTTTCTCACAGGAGAGAGCTGTGACTGCAGGACTCTATCTTTCTGGGTGTGTTTCAGACACTCAATCTACTTTCGCTGTATAAAATTGTGTCTGACTAACTTTGACCTTCTTAGACATTGGGATTCTTCCCCTGCATGTGTCCAGCTAGAGATTTTTAAATCTTTTGATCTCCTACAAAAAGAAAAAAACAAAAAAATTCCATAAAGAAGCCCAAAAACATTGTAGTAGCTGATTATTTTTTTTTTCCCTCCAACAGAAAGATGGAATCATACCAACCACATCCTGAAAAACTAACAGATGAGCACCAATCAGACTACAGGCTTGTTTTTTTATTGTATCTGGGCTGGAATTAGCCCAAAACTACATATGGTGGACAATGAACAACACTGTTAAGTGCCATGATGATCACACCCTGGATAAGTATTTGTTTCCATTTGTGTACAGCACTGTGATGGTGATCAGTATTCCCATCAACTGCATATCCCTCTACGTGTCTTGCATTCAGGTGAGGAAAAAGAATGAGTTGGCAGTCTACCTATTTAGTCTGTCCCTGGCTGACCTTTTGTACTCTGTGATTCTGCCTTTGTGGATTGATTATGCCTGGAATGGAGACAACTGGACACTCTCTGCCAGGCTTTGCCAGTTTTCTGCCTTCCTTACATACATGAATTTTTACACCAGCACTGCATTTCTTGCTTGCATCTCTCTCGATAGGTACCTGGCATTAGTTCACCCCCTGAAGTTCCAGCACTTACGTACAAGAAGAATTTCACTGATTGTCAGCATTATTGTTTGGCTTCTGGAAGGTACCTTTAATTCAGTTATACTGATGAATAAAGAAGTATTTAATGATCCTTGCAATTCTACTAATCATATATTATGTTATGATAAATACCCCCTGGAATGGTGGCAGGCACAGCTGAACTTATTCCGGATATGCTCAGGGTACCTGCTCCCTTTGATAATCATTTTGTTTTGCTACCATAAAATCTACCAAGCAGTGAGATGTAATCAAGCCACAGTAAATGAAGAGAAGAAAAAAATCAAGAAACTTATACTGAATATCACAGTTACTTTCATTATTTGTTTCACTCCTTATCATGTTGTATTGCTTATTCGGAGCATCAAAGAACCTCAGACCTCTAACCTACAGCTTTTACAGTCAATTTATAAAATCTACAGAATCACACAAGCCTTTACAAGTTTGAATTGCATTGCTGATCCCATTCTTTATTGCTTTGTGAGTGAAACTGCACGAACAGACATTCTGAATTTGCTCAGGTGTTGCTTACACCTACAAAAGCCTGAAGGAAACCAACCAGAAGAACATGCTCTGTGTAGTTCTGCTACAAAGAGCAACGCACTGGTCACCTACAGATCTTCCTGTGAAACTGAAACTCTGTAAGACATCTGTGAGAGCACAGTCAAAGAAAAAGTGGATAACGTAAAGGGAAAAAAAGTAAAAATAAATCTTCCCTTGCTTGTATCTAAGTAAACAACTCCAAAGTACTCTAATCTAGGTGAAACCAGTAGCTGGAACTAATAAGAATATATTGCAGGTCAGTTAAGTCAGGGAGCATTTCTCATAACATTTCTTAAAATCAGGTGTGTTATGTAAATCAGTGTTAACAAACAGCCAAGGAAAATGAACATGATATGCTGACAGAATTACAGAGGGTCCCCTGAAGAACGTCCTCCTGTCTCAGCTTGCTAGCTAGCCCATATACTCAGTACACTTGTACTTAGCTGCAAGAAGGCTGAAGTCCTTTCAATCTAGTTTTTCAGTTTTAACAGAAATCTTAAAGTTCATCTGAGAAAGATTCTTCTGTATGATTTTTTTCTTAAATCAGTACTGTGATAGAAATGAATGAAAAATGCACACACAGAATATTCAAATGATTGATAAAGAGCAGAAAAACTGATAGTGTTATGATGATTCAGTAATGACTCAAATTCTCCTTCAGCATAACCTCCCCAGTTAACCACCTCTTAAAATTGTTTACCTTATGTAGACAGTTACTTACCTGCTCTTATGCGTTTTTAGCTTTTGGGAAATGTATGTCCTAATGTATGTTAACACATGGCATGCAGTTTCATTACAAATACTGAATTTCAGACAACTGAAGATTCATTACTTAGAATACATATAAGGAACCAAATTCAAGCCACAGATGGATAACTAAGGTGAAATTTTACCTCACATGTTCAGGGAAGAAAGGAAAGAATTGGAAGGTGAGGTTTCACGTCTCCATGAAAGAAAAAGCCTCTCTTTGGTCTAGCTTACTGTGACTGAAATCTGGAGTGCAATTTTGTTTGTAGAGTCAAAGGAGCAAAAAGATTTATATTCATTTACTTACTCTCAGTCAAAAAATTAAATAAAAATAATAAATCACTAAGCTAACAAACAATACTAACAAGCCAATAAAGAATAAGGCAATAAAACAACACAAATATTGAAAAGGTTGAAGTTCAGCACAGATCAAAATTAGAGTTGTTAACGCAGGGATTTGTTCGCGTGGTTCACAGACAGCAATGGCTGCACGTTCCCATGAAAAGATGGTCAAAATTTGTCTCCTTTCACAAACTTTTCACTTTTGGCCAGATTCCAGGAAGAATGTTCAGTTGTGGTTATTTCCCAGTTTCATAAAGGATTAAAAAAAATATATATATTTCCACCAAAAATGTCCCTCTAGCAAGTCTGTAATGGAAAGAATTTTGACCTGCATTTTTCAGCACACATCCAGGACTGGCATTATACTTGAACGACCAGCATACTGTACTCACAGTCAGCATGGAAATTCTTAAACAAGATCCCTCTGCACAGAAAATATCTCCATTACAAAAACCCACTTTCATTCCACTGTTCCTGATTACATGTATTTATATTTTTTACTCATTTCACACTCTGAGATGGGAACTTGAGAGGCTGAGGACACTGGGCACGTTTAGCCTGGAGAAGAGAAGACTTTGGGGGTCCTAATGGCAGTCTTGCTATACCTGCAAAGAGTGTTGAGAAGATGGAGCCACTTTTCACAGCAGTACGTAGCAGGACAAGAAATTGTACATAACTCAAAGCAAGAAGGATCAAAGTTGATAAAAGTAAATTTTTTTGAACTATGAGGACTGTCAAGCATTGGGGCATGTGGCAGCAAGAAGTCCTGCATGCTCCATCCTTGCAGATTTTCTAGATCAAACTGGACAAAGCCCTGAGCAACCTCATCTGGCCTCATAGCAGACCTTGTTCGGAACAGGAAATTGAACTAGAGACTCCCTTAGGTCCCTTCCAAACAGAATTATCACGTGATGCTATGAACTTCTATAAACATTTGTGTCATTACTCTGGCTGCTACCTTCCTCTTTAAATAGTTATATTCCTTTCCCTTCTTTGTTTCCTTCAATCTTTATACTGGATTTTGTTTTGATGTGCTTTTTTCTCTAACTCCATTTTATATATTATGAAAGAAAACGAATGCAAACAGTGCAAATTGCTTCATCACAGATGTGTCCCTATACTAACCTAAGAACATAATGTGTTATGTGATAGGATGAATTTTCACTGCAGCTCTGGAATAAAAGCAGAACTAAGACTCCCTGTAGCTTCATGGGGAAAAAAAAAAAAAAATCTCAGTAATTTATTCCTACACCTTCTACATGCAAAAAAAGTTGGAAATGTTGGGGTTTACAGTTATCCTAAATAAGGGATAATGACAACTAAAGCTAAACAACAAAGTTTATTCAAGTTTAATGTGTCAGAGCTGGCTGCTCTGCAAGGGACAGGGAACCAGGAACCAGAAAGCTGAATGTGGAGCTGTGCAGTTCCACAGCACCCAAGCAAGGTGTGCAGATCAGATCTGGTGATGGTAACCAGCACCAACCAGCAGCCCTAGACAAATCCATAGTGACAAGGCATTCTGAGGTTGAGATGAAAAGCCAAGGCAGCAAGCTGAAGTCAGGTTCAGTGAGGTACAAGGCCAGACACTGTGTTTCTGAGATGTAGCTCAGCATGGTAAGTGCTTGAGCTGACAAGTAACTCCTGTTCCAAGGAGGGGGAATTGCCATCAAGAATCCTCCAACTTCTTCTCACATAACTTCTACCAGCAGCCTGGTCCAGGTTGCATGGCAGCGCCATGCCAGCACTGGCCTCCTCACAGGCAGCCAAATCCAAGAAGGCAGGGGAAGAGACCGCAGTGTGTGTATATTCAAGGTCCTGATCCTGCTCAAAGAGCTTCACTTCCACAAAATTTGGCCCTGTAATTTTATACCTTAAAGTTCTCCACCATTGTTTATCAAAACCTTAGCTTGGATCAACTTTCAATACCACTTATGAATGTTTTTTTAATCACATCAGTTCTTATAGTCCCTCCATACCTTACTGAAGATCATTTTGAGATAAAGGAAATCAATGACAACAGCCGGCCCGTAGGCTGGGCTTCATGAAGAAACTCAGATAAATTAGGGGTCCACTTCAGGAAAATAAAACATAGGTACCTAATGTCTTCGGCTGTTATGAAATGCTAGCTTTATCTGTTTACTGTTTGTTAAAATGAGGAAGCTGAGATGTGGAGACTGCAATGCCCTGTACTTCAATCACTTCTGTATTTACTTCAATACTTTTACACAGCTAAAGATTTGCACTCTTTTTCATTCTCACTCCAAATTTGTTTGTCCCAGCTGGATCAAATTTACTGTATGAAAATAAACATCTATATTTTTTCAGAATCACACAATAGCAGAATACAACAGTGAAAAATAAATGTCTTCATGAAGGCTTCAATCCACGTACTATTACTGAATATTTTGTATAAAACTCCTAGTAGCTCTGCAGTAAAACGATCAGACACAAGTTCACAGAAACTCCTTCAAAAGCAAGAACATTTCTTACACCAAAGAGTTTATAAATTCCAAAGATCTATTTAATGGCAAGAAGAAATAAATGAATTCAAATTCCATTCTTTTCCTGACAGACAAGTCCTAAAATCACTAATGTATGACTTTGAGGAGACACTAGTAACTGTCTCTCTTCTCAAGATATTCAATAAGAATATGGATAATTAAAGGATTATGATGGTAACTTATTTAATAACTAGTGTATGAAATGTCAGTGCTAAACAATACTGTTTTCAGCACAATAACAGCAGAGATGAATTTATATATCAATAATATACTTCAAGCAGAATCTACCTTCCAGTAGTCCAAAGATATAATGCAACTTCTTAAGTTAGGAGTTTTTCAGGGAATTGTAGTGACTTTGCTGGTGCAATTTCAGTCTTCATTTGAGCTGTGTTTCCTAGAATCCTAGCCACAAGCTGTCTCATGACATTCACAGTGCAGATCATTGTTTTTTTTTCTGATCCAACAACACATCTTAACATCAGACCTGACTCACACAGCTGTGGACTAACAGGGACTAACAGACACTCTCACTTAACTTTTTTCTGAGTCTCTAACACATTTGACTTCAGAGCAACTGAGAAAAAGAAGCTTGAATTTCAGCTATATTCCAGTTCCTGTTTCCACTCACAGAGAATGACATTTAAAAATGATTCTAACTACTCCAATGACAAGTTTCTGAGACTGTTACTCTTTTATACCAGTAAGGAAAGGAGTACAGTGCCATAGTTTAGCTACATGCCACTATTCACATTGCTTACCAACACCAGTGTTGTCACTGGTCTAGTTCTCCAGTTTCTAACATAGCAAAGCACCATCTCCTTCATTTGCTCCCAGTTTCCACTCAGAATAGAGAGGATAAAGGAGTGTAAGTGTTACAGAGCTTGGTACCAGCACTTAAGAAAGGGAACTGAAGTGTGGTTCTGTATATATCAGGAGACTGGAGTGACTGCTGCACCCACTGAAGATGTCCAGGGTTTTCCTTCCATGAGACATCAGTCACCTGTAGTTCCAGAGCCCTGTGAAATGGCACCCTAATCCTGCCCAGTTTCACCCGCTGCCCTGTACCACATCTGAAAAGCCATGGCCTAGTACTGATAGAGGGTGGGGAATAGTGATACCAATAAAGAGTTCTTGTGCATCTTCTAAATGTTTCTATGTTTTTCTACAGCTGCACTACAATGTCTGTTTTACTGATATAATGCTAGCCTAAAGGAAAAATAGGTCACCCCACTTTTTTGCTTTTTTTTTTTTTTAATTATTTTGTTGACAGAAAATACAGCTATCCAGCCTCTTTAAGTGGAGTGTGAGAGACCTCAAGGAAAAAAAAAAATCTCTTACAAGCTGTTACTTTAAATTTAGTATTTTTAGAAATATTATTGCTATAGCAACAACAACTTGGTTAAAGGTTCAATATCAGGGACAACAGATTCTTTTTCTTTTCTTGTTCTTCTTCCCTAGTGAACACAAAATCTGTTGCTAGATGAAAAACTAAGGTGGTGACAGATTTCGTTGAACTGCAGTCAGATACTGAACTGGTGTCTGGTAACATATAATTACACACATAAACATAACATTTAGTTTTAAGTCTGTCACAAAAGTCACTGAACCTCAAAGTTTTTACTGTGGATCTTTAGATACCTAGATGTGGTACACTGTCCTTTAGATGAGATACTGAGGATCATTCATCATAAGCAATCACTTATTGTCTTTTTCCAACAGCTCCTGGTAATATCCTCAAATGTGCTATATTCAATTTCAGATGAAGCTTTGACTTGTGAAACCATGACCTTACCTTTTGTTTCTCACAATTTAAAAGTTTCCTCCCCTTTAACAACAGGTATGTGAAGTAACGACTGTTTTTCTTGTCCCACATGAAGAATGACACCTAGAAATATTTCAAACTTCTAGCATTTTACCACAGTTATTTGTGCCTTGATTTCAGCCCTAATCCAGAGATATATTAAGCTATTAGAAGAATCCTCCCTTCAGTTTTCTTCATCTGCCACTGCAGACGTCAAGGCTAGTACTAAATCCAGAAAGTCGCAGTCTACAGGAGAGGTGCAATCAACATGTCCCAAAGCCATGGGGACACAACCCTTTTTCAATTTTCCTCTTTTTCCCTTGACACCTCACTGTACCTGCTACACTATGCTTCACAGAGCTCTCACATACGATATCTCTAGGGCCTCAGGAAGCAGGTTGGTTTACAGCCACTCATCTTTTGAGATAGCTTTCACCTTAGTAGAACCAAGAACTCTTTAAGGAGAAGGACAGTTTAAAAAAAAAAAAAAACAACAAAAAACAACACAACAGCAAAAAAACCACTTAAGACTTGGAGGGCAAGAGAAAATCCAATTATTCCAAGTATCAATTTATAAGATTAATTTTGAAGAGAGAATAAACGTGGCTTCACCTGTATGCCTTACTCATTCTAAGGGACTGCAACGCACTAAATAGCAGTCAGCAAACTAAGGTTTCTACTCCCTCTTAGAATACACAAAAGGTCAAACTAAATATGAATACTGATGCATTGACAGTAATCCCACGAAGGCAGAAATGACCCAAACTTCCTGGCATGCAGTGTGCATGTACACATGCCCATCTGAACACTCAGTAACCAACAGATTCTGTGCATTGTACAGAAGTATAACCAAAGTAACTGTTTCAGACCACGATTTTGTACAGGAAAACAATATTGCTTTCACACTCACATTTTTTACAGCATTAGTGCCAGACATGTGAAATACAACAATTTCCTACTCACCTATTTTAACAAGAATAATGCCAGTCTTCCTTACCTGTCTGCATGGCTATCAGTGCACAATGCACAGTCACAGTCCAGTCTACATATCTCTACAGGAACATAAAACTAGTAAAATACTGCAGCGTATATATTCTCAAGGAATTCCTGGTGAGTCTGTTTAGAGCTGCACTGAAATTTACAGCTGTTGTCAATTCTCCTGTAATGTTCTGTTTGAGTAACACATTTCTTCAGTAAGTCTAACATTCACACTTGGAAGACTTATAACTGAGGAAAGCAGGAAATAAATTTAGGCAGTAGCATTTAGCAGTTTAAAATTAACTCCTTTGGAAAAAGAAAAATTCAGCTCTGAAGTTTTTTTTTTTTCATTATTATTTTTATCCCTTCTACATCATTAGTAGATTCAAAAATTGACTTCAGATGGGCCTGGCATATGTAGCTTTGAAAACAAAGGAACAGTTATCACCATAACTCAAACTCTACCAAGGAAAGTAAAAGGCAATAGTTTCCGTTATTTTCAGTCATGAGTTCACCAGAAGTTTTTCATGTGGTTATTTAAAAGTTACAACTCTATGTTACAATTATGAATACCTGGAGGTTCTCATAGTTTCCCTTTCCTCGTGTTTTATCACTGCAGAAAGAGAGTCTTGAAATTACGACTGTTATATACCTAAATGAAGCAGTGGAGGAAACGAATTCTAAGTAAACTACATTTTAAATGTCATTATTTTTAATAAAATCTTGACACTTTGATCAAAATAAGATTTTTTTTTTGAAGCTTGTTCTTTTTATTTCTGTACAATAACAGGAAGTAAGCCACAAAAAGGCATCAGAATAGAAATAAGAGGAAAGTGATAGAGTACAGAAGTGAGGATTCAAAAACCCTATGAAGTGGATTTAACTGAAAGCATTTACAAAATTTGCTAACTCGGTCTGTATAGGTTTATCACTGTTGTACATTCATTTTAACTGATTACAAAGACATTAAAGATGAAACCACTTCCAGATACTTCTGTGGATTTCAGCCAATTACACAGTTTGCCTGTTTCTAGCATTTCTTTCAAAGAAACGAGGACCAAGAGCCCAGAGACTCTTCAAAGCACAACCCACATAGGAAACATAAGATACCCAGTTCAGACACTGAGTGTAGCCTTTTCCTCAAGACCCCTGTAACTATACTGCAAAGACATTCAAGTAATCAAGTTGTAGTTGCGTACGGAGGTGATAGTTATCTCTATGCTTGGTACACACTTTCTATAAAATGCCTATTTTTCTGCTCAGCAAATTAATTTCTACTTAATTTGTTCCTGCACAGAACAAATGACGTAGCATCTCCAGTCAAAGCAACGTAGCAAAATACTTCACAAATATAGTTGACTCAATTGTAACTGCAGTAGAAAGCCTGAAATGAGAGATCTGGGAGACTATCCTCACTAGGTGGCGGTTTTGGTCTGCTCAGTCAGAACTTACCGAAGAGAAGAAAAAAATCCTCATTTTAAGATGTGTTTCTTACATAGAAATAAAAGGCAGCATGCAAACAGAGCTGGCCCCTAAGTTTCCAGGAAGACAGGGTGAGCTGTTGTAGTCCTTTCAGATTCAGCCTTGAGATGCTGCGAGCTACCAGGCTTTGAATCACCAGACCTGAGAACTAGAAGTTAAACTTAAAAAAAAAAAAAATAATAATAATAATAATAATAATAATAATAAAAAAAAAAAAAAAACACCAAAACAAAAAGAAAACCTAAAGACCTTACCTGCACATTATGAGCTTCCCACAAGCCTAGATTTACAGACAGCTTGCTTATATAGAGATATCTCTCTCTCTCTCTCTCTCTCTCTATATATATATATATTTTTTTTTTTTAAAAAAGACTTTTATCTTCTTCCCTGCTATTTATTGCAAAATACATGGACAGACACCAAGCATTTGTATTGCTAAACAAAGCAAGCACTTCCAGTCTGCAGCCCAATGGGCCCCTCACATTCCTGTGTTCAACCCATCAGACTTTTTCTTCATACGTCTTGCACGTGCTGTGCTCCTGGGGTTGGCAACAATTCCAATGCCTCACTTGCGCTCAGTCAGAGCTGCTGAAAGACTTCTCTATGTCTGCCAAACTCCTCATCTGATGTATCATGCAACAGAGCATATAACGCATTCCACTGGACATTCATATTTCCCCCATACCCCAGCTCCTCTCCTCAGCCATTTATAGCAGATAAGCTCCCAGGGCAGCAGCTCACTTACTGTCAACCTCAAAGTACATTAAAGCATATTGCATTATTGAAGGACCCCTGAAACAAATTCATTCTTCACCCACGTTAAAATTACATGTTTTTTCACAGATGCTTACTTCACTGAAGTACAATTAATTATTTTCCTCTAATTCCTAGAGGATCAGACCTTTCAAGTGCTACACTAGAATCACATTCTTCCACAATATTCCTCCATTCTCTGCAAGAGCTAACTTCACATCCAGGACAGTACCTGCTCCCCAAGGAACTCACATTATGATAAAGCTTTTCAGGTGCTCCAAACTCACCACACCTGCTTACAAGGACGATTAAGCCTCTTCCTTCTATTGGTTGGAATACCAGTTCTGTTATCCATTGTGGTTTTGTTCAGTTCTTGTACTTTCTTTTCCCTATAATTCTAGTTGTTATTCCTTCATACTTTGACTTATTGATGGTTTTCTTCTTCCTATATGTAAGGAACAAACAGAACAATTACACAAGCCTCTTTCAATACTTCAGTGACAATTATGAGTCTTCTCAACTCCAAAAGACAAAATTTCATTAATTACCTAGCTTTTAAACAATTTTGGCATTTGTTTCAAAGTGATTTATGTGTTTCAGGAAGCAGCATGGAATGATTTAAATTCTCAGAATTTATTAGCTTTGTTCCTTTGTACTCAATTTTTTCTAGACGATTCATATGAATAAGATGTCATTTCAATAATGGGATGCACTGGGATGATTGCAAATGTCTGCAACTACAATGAGAAATTAAGCTAATAAACCCTGGCCACTAAATTGTAAATAATGACTTGCAGTATCCCATCAGCTCTTATTTTGCTGCTCCTATCATATACAGTTAAATTCTAAATTTAACAAGAAAAGAAATTGAATGTTAAGTTTTGCAGGTCCGTCCCATATTATACATTAGGTT